TTTTACAATTGGACGGCTAACTCTTCGGGCCTGGCTTTAATCTAGCCTCGTCTGACCAGTCCCCTACTTTTTGATTGCTTTCTACGACCTAGGTTCTGAAGTCCCAAAACTCTGCTCCCATCATTCTGAATGCTCTGCTAAGCGTTCTAACTACCTATGTTGGCGCAGTCCTCTGTAACCTCCACTCATGTGTATTGCTGGGCTTTATTCAGCTTTCTTATTATTAAGACGGATGAACCATCACCTGAAGAACGGAGTTGGCTTTTCTACTTCTCTGCAATAGATCCATATTTACGTACCCTATCTTTTCCTTCCCGTGCTCTCTGTTTGCCTCCCTTCTTCATTTGATGTCAATTTACATTTGTTCGTCCACACAGACTGCTTTCATTACAACAAATATAAAACTAAGTCAACTTATCTCTGTCACCCCTTGTGAGCGAAATACTTTTTCCGTCTTCGGTGCATCTCGTACGCCACTCTCTGGTGTCTCACAGATTGGGCGGATGTGCTTAAGAAACCCTCAAACTCTTCGCTTCTTCTTTATACCTAATTTGTAACAATCTATCATTTTCTACTGATCCGTGATCTGCTCACTTCTGGTACGCGTGTATACGAGATACGTAAATAAATAAATAAATAAATGTAGGTTTATTTCTAGACAAGCACTAGATGCTGTTCCTGCGTGGGATCAGATCAAATTGTACATAACATCCATGCTCATGCATGGAGAAGAAATATCGTTAACAACTGCTTTTGATCGTGTTTATCTTTCCGAACAGTAAAGCAGGGATAAATATAAACGTTTCGTAGGCCTCGACATTTTTGAAGGCAGTAGTTTGGGTCTCCGTAGCTTATGTACAAATTCTGCGCTTTTCACTGGCTACCGCTGCCAATTCTTGAGGTGCCAGATTCCATTAGTAAACGATCAATTAGAGGAAATTTGATCCATTTTCTTTGGTCACATCACCGCATTTCGAGCATCCATTAGTAGCGGGCTCATGGAAAGGAATAAGCAAGCCAAAATTAGATCGTAAAAGTGGAGGGTGGAAAAAAAGGAAATAACAGTAGTGGCTAACAATTTAGCCTTTCTTAGAAAAGTGCGACTGAAAGGCCGGCCCACTTAACTAGAAAATATACTAATATTGGAAAATGGAGCCAAAATATAGCCCAGAAACAGCATACCAGAATCGCAAACCTGGCGCAAATTTCAAAGTGTAAACCTCCAAACAAGGGGAAAGTCTGAAAGGAGGTCGGCGGAAAAGTTTGAATTTTTTGGTGGCTACCGGTACATCTATTAGTGGGCTGAAAGAAATTGCGTTCATAGTACTAAGAATAGGTAACATAAATTAAGATGAATCGTTTAATAGTACTGCATGACTTATGATGTGTTAACATTATACTGAGTCAAAGTGCTTAAAAGAAGTAAGGTCGTGATGGTGGCGGAAAATCAACCGATAGGAATGGGCTAAAATAACGTTTAGTAAATGTGGCAATATTTTTTCGTCGGAAATCGTTCGAAATGTTACGTACTTATATACGGAAACTGTCTGTAGATTAGAAACGGAAAAGACTTATAACAATGCATCAAGTGAAAGGTTACGAAAACCACACGGAATGCTAATTGGAGGACTGATGTACATGGGCGACATGAAATGGAACATTTGTAGGCAATTTAATGATATTACGTAATGGTAATGAACGAAGTTGCGTAAATAGTAAGTGTGTAACTTACGGATGATGCTTTGAAGATAACGCGCAATGAGACGTAATTTTGTGAATCTGCAGAAATAAGAAATAGAGAACTATGATGAGAAAGGCATCACTGTGTGCATGTTTAATGACATACGGAAAGACGTGCAGCAATGAGATAAGGAATAATAGCTTACTAACATTTGTTGCTGTGATATTGCGTTCATAAATGGTTACTATGAAAATGGGATGCACGGAAGGGGTTTATTTGTTTGGGTCAATGAGGATGAATAATCGCAAATGTTAAATTTCTTTACGTATGTTAAAGTGTTTCCCAAGCTTAATGCAAATATGAATGCGTTTGCATTTGCTAAGTTGTCGGCGTACATGTAGAAGGGGTAAAATGAGAAGGCGTCTATGTATATATATATATATATATATATATATATATATATATATATACGCCTTCTCATTTTACCCCTTCTACATGTACGCCGACAACTTAGCAAATGCAAACACATTTTTATTTGCAATAAGCTAGGGAGACACGTAAACATACGTAAACAAATTTAACAATTGTGATTATTCATCCTCATAGACACAAACAAATAAACCCCATATAGATATAATATATATATATGCAGAAGGCACACATATAACGCTCTATCTCTCTTTATATATATATATATGTATATATATATATGCATAATTATAGATAGACATTGTTTTAAATCTACGCCTGATATTACCCCTTCTACATATATATATATGTATATATATGTATATATATATACGGAAATATATGTTTACATATATATATGTAATTGAAGGGAGACTAGCAGATATGTATATCTGCGTATATGTATGCGTACATGTGGATATATATGTTTACATATTTATGTATGTATATATATATGTAATTGCATAAATATACGTATATATGTACATATGTACACATATATGCATATCCAGAAGTCTCAATAAGTTACGTATTTCAATATCGCGTTGTAAATATACATATATATATGTATGTATATCTATGCATCTATAAATGGTTGGCGGCATCCGGTTTCGGATTTGCCTGTCACTGTGGCAAGCCACAGGACGCCTGCGCCTACAGAGGGACCATGGATGGCTTGCGCTGCACCACCCACAGCTCCAACCACACACCCCATATCCAGTGTAAACCCGAAGGAATAAGACCGGGAGGCATGCGGATGGGAGCCACGTTTCATCAACGGAGCCGGCCCACACTCCTTCACAGGCAAACACAAGCACACTGTATTTGGGAATCAAGCGCACACAAGGCGGTGGCTGGACCGTAGTCCGCTCCACACTGAGTGCATGGAACCACTCTTCGAGCCTAACACGGCCACAAGGACCGTGCACCCCGTCCCCTCCAGCAACGACCAACTGTCTCCTGGAGCCAGTATGGACGACGTAGTGGGTAATAGACAGGTAGGCACCTTGTCAACATGCACATCAAGCGCAGCCACACCGGGGATATCAAACAACAGCCAATCACTTGAGAGAGAGAGAGAAAGAAAAGAGAACAACCCGATTAATGCATAAGGAAACGGTGACATAAACCTTAATCAAATAGCATACGTAATAAGTTGTTTACAAACAAATCCTAGCTAAGTGCACGAGGTCAGGAAGTATAGTTCACGGTATGCCACGAACACAAAAATGTTATGGAAATCGAATACAATTGGCTGAAGCGATGTGTGCAAGTTAATGGAATAGAGTACAGGGAGATATTTATATGAGAAAGAAAAGCATTAAGGTAAAAACTAAACCCACCACCTGAAATAAAGAGACTTAGCATGCAAGCACGCGGTTAGTAAATCGAATTCAGCGTGCCTACAAACGCTGCGCCGGCTCGTCGTAATTCTCTGCAGGACCCGTCGTCGCTTCTGTAGTGGCCCCAAATGACACAGCGCATGGCGTGGCCCACTAGACATTTATATGAGAAAGAAAGGAATTAAGAGAGAACCGAAAACCCACCACCTGAAATAAAGAGACTTGGCATGCAAGCATGCAGTTAGTAAATCGAATTCAGCGTGCCTACAAACGCTGCGCCGGTGCTGCCTACGTTCACTGCGGGACCCGTCGTCGCTTCGGCAGTGGTCCCGAGTGACCTCTCTCATGGCTCACTAGGCCTGCCTGACTAAGGCACTCGCGACCGCATGTTCTACAGCACAATGCGCTCGATGTCGATGGAGTACAATTCATCGGTGCTTGCCGCTTCCGCAACTGCCGCTTCCTCTCTGCATGCATGAGGGATTTCTCCCGCACCTCAGCAACTGCCTTCGTGATTAGATCGCGCCATGCACCACGATCAACCGCCTTCGATTCCCATGATCTGCAATCAAGATTAGAACGTGTGAGGCTCACTTTAATCATGTCCTGGTAACGTAACTTTGGTTTCCCCACGTGCCGCTTCCCAATACTCAGCTGACCGTATAAGAGTTGTTTCGGTATCCGCGTCGAATCCATACGGCTCACATGACCGAGCCATCTCAGGTGTCTCAATAAAAGTATGCAGTCCACTGCATACATCCCACTTCGGCGCAACACTTCCGTGTCTGCAACTCTGGCGCCCCAGCCGATCCGCAGAATTCGTCGCAGACACTGCTGATGGAACCGCTCGAGATATCGCACATCCCGACGGTACATCGTCCACGTTTCACTGCCGTATAGAAGAACGGACAGTACCATGGATTTGTACACCATCAGCTTCGTGCCAATGGTAAGCTGATGGTTGTTCCACACTCGGTACTCAAGCTTCCCGAATGCCGCTGCCGCCTTCGACACGCGAATACGCAACTCAACGTGTAGCTGCTGATCAGTCGACATCACACTCCCAAGGTAGCAGAAGCGGGAGGTGGTTTCCAATACTTCAGCACCAATGCTGATTTGCGGCAATATTGAAGATTGAACCTCCGGTGAAGGCTGAAAGAGACAGACAGTTTTGCTTGTGTTGATGGTGAGCCCGAATTTGGCCGCTGTCGAAGCCAGAGCACTGGTCATGTACTGCAACTCATCCGCGTTGTGTGCAAACAACGCACAGTCGTCAGCAAACAGCAACATACGGATAGTTGTCTCACAGACTAGAGTTCTCGCACCGAAACGACGGATGTTCAGCAACCCACCATCAATACGGTGCTCCACACGAACACCGTAAGCACAAGCCGCATCAAAAGCACAAGACAACATTGCATGAAGATAGATATTAAACAGGGCAGGAGCTAACACACAGCCTTGCTTCACACCAGAGACAACTGTAAAGTCATCAGAGGTCTCTCCACTCAGCTGCACCCGCGCTCGCATACCACTGTGCAGACATTCAATTGAACTTACAAACTTACGCGGGCAACCAAACTTACCCAACACCAGCCACAGTGCCTCGCGGTTCACCGTATCAAATGCCTTGGTGAAATCAACAAAAAGCGAGTACAAAGGCTGGTGTCGTACTCTGCACTTCTCTTGCAACTGACGAGCCGCAAACACCATATCTATAGTGCTGCGACCCGAACGGAATCCACATTGCTCTTCCGCCACGTTTGGTTCCACAATCTGACTCACGAGGCGATTGAGCAGGATTCGGGCAATCACCTTGCCCACACAACTCAGCAAGTTGATGCCACGATAATTCGTGCAACATTGCTTGCTACCTTTGCCCTTGTACAGTGGTAGCACAAGGGCATCCTTCAGCTCAGCAGGCACCTCCTCCTCAATCCACACGCGTTGCACCAAGTGGTGCAGCGCAGTCAACAACGCGGGTCCACCGTGTTTCAATACTTCAGGTGGGATCCCGTCACCTCCGGCACATTTGCCGTTTCGCAGCTGAGCAAGTGCTCTCTGCGTCTCATCCAGTCTCGGCGTATCCGCCAGATCCGCCTTCACATCGTGCTGCTTCAGGCCATTCAATGTAGGCCAGTCGATCTCTGAACGGTTGTTCAAGAGACAGTCAAAGTGTTTCCGCCAGACCTGCAATATGTCTGCAGTCTGGGTGCAGGTAGCGCCTGAACTACCATCGATCAGTGTCCTCAGCGGCTCCAATCTCGGTCCATACACCGCCTTCAAGGAGTCAAAGAATTCCTTGTGTTGACGGCGTTCGGCGTAGCATTCCATCTGCTTCGCCTTCTCCGTCCACCATGCATTTTTAATGCGACGGAGCTCTCGGGTCAGTCGCCGTCGAAGTTTGCGAAACTGACTACTCTTCCCCAAGTCACTGGGGTCTGCAACATGTGCAGCAAATGCTGCATTCTTCTCTGACACCAATGCCCCAATCGTCACATTGTTGTCATCAAACCAATCAGGCTGCTTACAGTTTGCGTGCCCGATGGTCTCCTCCGCAGCAGCTGTCACCTGGTCGCGAATGTGGTGCCACAGGTCGCCCACTGTGGCTATACAGTCCACATCACCACACAGGCGTGCAGCCATCGCCTTCTCCAGCTCAGTACGTTTCGCCACAGTACCGAGGGAGAGAATGTTAAATTTACGCCGATTCACGGCGGGAGGGCAATACATAGATTTACGAAAATATATGTACAGTTTGATCCGAACCAATTTGTGATCAGTGCCACACTCAGCTCCACGCAGTACACGTGTCATGCGCACTTCACGCATATCACGCTGACGTACGATGACATAGTCGAGCAGGTGAGCGTGACCACTCCGTGGGTGCGTCCAAGTTGCTATATCACTCGCACTCAGTGCAAACCGAGTGTTCGTGATCGTCAGGCCGTGAGTGGCACACAGTGAGAGCAGTCTGTCACCGTTCGCATTCGCTGAACCAATGCCATGCGCACCGATAACATCTGTCCACACCGATGCATCACGTCCAACGCGCGCGTTAAAATCACCCAGCAGAAATAGTCGGTCGCTCTTCGGCACAGACCGTATCACGGAGGATAGCTCAGTGTAGAACTGATCAGGCGTGTCATCAGGATAACACATGGTCGGACCGTACGTGCATATGAAAGTAGCAAACTTACCTCTTCCGAGTCGTAGGCGAACAGTCATCAGCCGCGCGCTGATGCCCGTTGGTTCACCCACCAGCTGGCCATTCAGGCGGTTGGATATTGCAAATCCGACCCCATGTTCACGTGGTGCTGAGGCGGCGTTCCCCACCCAGTAGAATGTGTAGCCAGCACCTGCTTCATGTAACTTACCTTGCTCAGCGAGCCGAGTTTCACTGAGCGCCGCAATATCGATGTGGTAGCGCGCCAGCTCCATTGCGACCAGTGCAGTGCGTCGCTCCGGGCGCTCGCTGGAGTTCCGGTCCAGTAGTGTGCGCACGTTCCAGCACCCGATGCTGAGTGCTTTGCGTGCAGGCATACGATTGCATTGGTGGGCAATCGCACGCGAGGTGGTCGTTGTGCTTCGGAGGTTTGCTTGAGGGACTCCACCCGGAGCCGTTTGGCTCAATAGCCTGACCCACAAGGCAGTGGGTGGTTTGGAGGTTTGCTTGAGGGACTCCGCCCGGAGCCTTTGGCTCAATAGCCTGACCCACAAGGCAGTGGAGAGCAGATCCAGCTCGGGAATGTGATTGCAGAGACAGATGGGGATCTGCTTGACGGCCGTCACACGCAGCCTTTGAGGTTCTGGAACAGTTATCATATGTTTTGCGACCGTAATTGGATACGCACCTGCGACCACGGCCAGACGCAGGTGGGTTTTTGGCGGGTTTGCACCAATTTGACCAGGGGCTGCCTGGCTTGAGGCGGGCAGTAGCAAACCATTGAACACCCGGAGTGTCCTCCCACCGTCAGAGACAATGCGTGGCACTCGTGCTCTACGCCAATCGAGCATTGAGAATATCACCCGTAACCTGTTGTCTCCCATGGCTAGGTTTTACGGGTAGTGGGCCATCGACCACTTCCTAACCTCCGGAGAGGATGGCATCTATAAATACATCTATTATATATATATGCCTGTTTCTATGTTGTCGTCATATCTTTGTATATATATATATATACAATATATATATATATATTTGTGTAGATATATATATATTATGCACATGTATAAGCATTGGTTGAATATACATGCATACCTGCACAGATGGATACGCAATTTGTACACCCATAAAAGGATGTATGCATGCAACGAATTGGTACGCATGAAATTGCATAGGAAAAGGAATATATGCATACATGTGTAAATATATATATATATACGTATCTATATACATATATGTATACATATATATACTATGTATATATATATATATATATATATATAATGCGGCGGGAGAGCCTATGGTGCGCTGAGGCTGGTGGTGGCTAGATCCTGACAGATGGAGTATGTCCCGCGCAGAGTGACTGACGCGCTGCCACATAACAGATGTGAGCACATGGGAGCCGCCACTGCCGACTAAACTCACAATCGCATTCCCTGCCCCAAACAAGCGGAATCAACGCCGTTTGGGAGCCGAAATGTTAACTAAAACGGGACAACAATGGGCGGCCTAGGACAAACCCTAGGCGCTGGTTACGACAAAGGTAAAATAATTAAGCTAGGTGCAATGGTTATGGAGATATTTGCATTTTTAGTGGTCGGCGGCGGATAGCGCCATTTTCGAGCCTCCGCTAAATTCACCTTCTGCTTTGGAAGCAGATACAGAAAAGGAAAGAAATAATACAAGATACGGATAGGCGTAATAAGTTCCGAATATGAAGTAGTAACTGGGAATGTCTAAGATAACGTGTAATTCGCTGCAGTAGCGAAGTATGACGCAGCGGGCTGAAAAGCATACTTTCTCAGTAAACGTAGTAAAAGCTTGGAAAACAGACGGAAAGGTTTTAGGGAAATACTAGGTAGGCTGTAAGAATTATTATATAGGTAGAACAGCACAGGATATTGTGTAGCTAGCCCACAGCCAGAATGCGACCATGTGCGATTTTCAGAGTATATTGGGCCGCAGAATCCACTATGAATGTGGAATTCAACGTTTTTAATGCTCCGATGTGGATGCGAAAATTATACCAAAGCCGCATGAGCTGAGTCCATATGGATAAGACAAGGGAACATAAAACTCATTTGCCCCGTCTGAACTAGGATAACGCAAGCATTTCCTACAGAAATATCACCAGTTTCGACTCTTTGAGGCTATTTTATACATCGTTATGGTTGTATCACTGACACTAATGAGCCAGGGTGGTCTTCCAGTGATAATAAAAAATACTAATGTGAGAAAATTCACAAAATGTGTCCAGGTGAGAAACACCTTGGGTTCCGCTTTGGTTAGACACGAATACCACTTCTTTTGGGGGTTGCGCCATCTCAAGCATGACTGATTAGTGGGCCACAGGTGCTAAAGCACACAACTGTGCATTAAGTTGCTAGTTTAGAGCTCTATTTCTCTTAGCTGAGAGTCGGATGCAAGTGCCTGTGGTGTTGGACCAGAATAACGCAATGGTTCCCTGGAGAAACATCATCAGTTTCAGCACTTTGAGGTTAGGTTATATATCTTAATGGATGTGCCACCAATGCTAATGAGCAAGAGATGTCTTTTATTGATAATAGAGAAATACATGGTATGGGGTACAATAGTTCAGTCGTTGTTATAATCAATCGACTGCGTTTTAGATGCATTTCTTTAATCTGTCTGTATGGTTGTTTTTGTTTGTTTCCTTTCTTTTCCCGGGATTGCCCTAGATACGACGTCAAGCACCCAAGGAATCGTCCATAGTTGCAACAATACTACGATACGAGGTACAAATTCCCTTTCTCAGGAAACGAGTGGAAGACTGTCCGCGCTTTTACAACTTACTGACCAGAATATTACTCGTTATCATGCAAGGATACCATTTTTCCGAGGCCTGAACAATTGAGTCAGATTCGTCTAACAAAATCTCTTCCACATACTTCTTACCTGGGGTTCTCCTCTTGACTTCGGAAGACACATTCTCCAGCGAATGCAATGCCAGAACACTTCGGTTGGGCCATTCTTCGCTACTGGATGCATTCTTTTGCTATCCACTCATCCGAAGCGCTTCACTCCGCTTTCCCTGTTCAATTAGCCATAGATGCCTATATTTCCAATCCATTTTACAACTCACTCCGGGCGTACCACCAACTTGTTTCTCCGGACAATATTCTACCCTACGGTGCTTCAACAACACTGCAACGCATTACACCAGATATTTCTTGGAGACTTCACGTAGTTTTGCATTTGATAAATACATCACATTTAAAAATTTTCAATTCCTGACCTACCGATTTGATTCAGCCATTCGGTAAGGACAGAACAGAACCCAGGAACTAAGCACTCGCCAAAAGCAACAGCCAACGGAAAAATGGAACGCAACGTGACTGCAAATAACCGAGCAAATGAACACTAAACAAGAAGCATAGCACTTTATAAATTGACATTCAGTGGATCGGGGCAGTATTTCAGGACGTGGTGAGTTTTCGCCTGGCAAGCATCCTCCAAATAAAAAGCCAAAAATATCCGTTTAACAACACTGGAACGTGGCGAAATTGCCTCGCTACCGAATAAAGACGCAACCTAAGACTACACACCGGCAGTTTAACTAGAGTCACGATGCTTGATAAGCTCTGTACACTGGCACTTCTGCATCCGCACATAATGTCGTCTCTTCTTTCTACGAGTCCACGTCTATACCCTATTACTTTGGGTCTCGATGTTAAGTGCGCAAGAACTCATTATATTGTCATAGCTCGTTTGACCTTGCTCTTCAGTTAGCTTTCAATCAATCATACAGAATGCTCGAGCTATGTTTAGTTGGTGTGTGGCAGACTGATGATATTCTTATAAACGGGTCCCGAGTTCACGGCAGCCAAATTATCAATTCACCTTTTCACCATTGTACAGGTTTAATCATGAACCTTTGAACTATTTCTACTGTCTCTGCTGCAGTTGCCATAAAATATCTGTACCGTTGCACCTACCTGCGCATGCCTCCATAAGTATGCCGTGCATAGGCAAAAGTAAAATATTTACTTATTTACTTAGGTGTTCACCATTACTCCTCCGCTACAACCAATTTGACACTTGCTTATGTAAGTGTTTAGCCTTCTGACTGGAGTTTCTAGGCTCGCGGCACCCTAGCATAACTTAATTACCTGCTAATGGTTGAGCTTTAGCATCATTTGCTCTGCCACCCTGTGCAACCTAACTGTATGGTTGCATTTATTAAGCATCCGAAACACTATTCTAGGGAACGAGTCTAACTCAACTGGCCGGATCACAGCCGCTGCTTAGCCACTTCTTTTAGGTGTTTAGTTTCCCTTTCTCGTCGCCCTACACTAATGTGTATTTGCTCGGCGCTCTCTAGCAAAGTAGTTTAACTGCATGTTGTTCGCTCACTGTTTAATTGCAGGCAAGATACGAAGCCTATCCTTTCTCCCTTCCCACACAGTGGATGCAGCATAATAAGCTAATACTTCGTTGATCGCCTTCAAATACTGAGTTCTTATTCTGTATGTGGATGACAGCAAACTACTTATAGAAACATTAGTTATTGGTGCACGTTCAAAGGTTCTTTTAACAAAAGCATTATTGCACACTGTACCTCATGTTGTCTCAGCTCTAAATGTCATAAGGTAGGGCTTTAAAATGCTTGATTTCTCACCTGTACTTTGTGGTTTGCTCTCGGTTGTACCACAATGTATCTTTTCGCCGAGGTCAAGAAATTCTTACGGACCCGGGCTTGCACTGAGGAACAGCGTTTTCGTCTGAGACGGGACGTACTAACCGACAAGAACCTGCTTGAACCATGGCAACACACCAAACCGATTCAACTGCACTCACCACTACGACCGTTGTTTAGTTTCGCTAGCTGGACACGATATCTTCACACTCCAGAAAAGTATGCATACTCAGAAATACTCGGATACTAGATACTTTTAAATATCTACTCACGTAGACACTTAATAGACCGACTCTCCGTGATTCACCCATCCTCGACTGGCCTCAACGATTATGACTACTTGCTCAGCCAACAGAGAAAACTAGAAGTCACTCGACTGGGAATAACCGAGTGTGAAATCAGTCGGCAAGCTGCTTTGCCGGTTGTAACTTGGTGTTCAAAAGGAGTTACGGCAGTGTTCTAGGACGTGTTGAGGTTTGCCTGGCAAGCGTTCTCCTTATAAAAAGCTACAAAAGTCCGCTTAACAACAGGAGCACGGGGCGGAGCGGACTCGCCACTGTCAACAACTACATACTGGCAAGTCGTCTCGAGTCATAATTCAATAGTTCCTCCATACATACAAGCAAAAGGTACTCTGCTTTTACCTACCGTCTCCACTACATTTATGGTGACGTTACTTTTTACACTACGCATCCATAAACTCAGGTTCTTGTCATCCACTGACGCCCGTATTCCACCTGATTATTTTTCTATTTCTGCAGCGTATACAACTTACGACCACTGCTGATTACATATATAGCAACGCGTCTGTAGCGCAACATTATGGCTTGTAACTTTTTACCATGCCTGATTTTGTGTGCCTTTATAAATTCGAGAAAAATCTATTTCTCTTTTTATCTATTTATAAGTTTGCGCTTAGCGTGCCATTGGTTTTCCATTACGTAACTTAATTCTGCAAACAGCTGGCAACCTTAGTAACCTAAAATATCGGTTGAAACTCTTCACATATAGACTCACTTAGAAAGCTATCACACAACCATGCAAGCACTCTATACGCGCTTCCTCCTTTCCGGAATCGTTGGCAGTGTGCATTCCATCGGACCCTGGTAGGGCTCGTACTGGCAACTCGAAGGTTACCAGTCCGTGGTTGATACCACTGAGCTACGAGGGACGGCGCCGACCATCATTAATAGG